GAGAAGATCTGGGGTTAGAATCCCAGCCTGTTTGAGTTTGAATGCTTTCCTCATGCATGCAGGGCTTCAGTCTGTGTTCTCTGACTTCCTGCTACACTCCAAAGATGTGACGGTTAGATCCATTGCTCACTCCACATTCTAGATGCACATAGTTGTTTTCCTTGTGTATCTCTTTGTTGCCCTGTGATGGATTGGCCTCTGATCCAGGATGTCCAAGCATTGATGGACAGTCAGAGAAACAGGACTACACTGAAAAATAGGCCGGGCTCAAACATCTACTGTATAAACAAAGGTGTTGCTGGCAGCAGCATAGCTGATATTTCTCTCCAGGATGGTGTCACAGCCAACAGGAACAGACCAGATGAAGCTACTATGAGACAAAGCAGAGAGAGCATACAGTTATAGATTGAACTAACAAATTCTGCAGAAGCTGAGTAAAAAAGGGTCCCTATGTCCTCCAACAGTCTAAGCCTATATCAGCATAACTATAGAGATAGCTTTGGATAACCTGAGCCACTCCAACTATAAGCTTTATCAAAATGGAATATTTTGAGCCTACCCTTAAGGCCAATTTATACTTCTGATGCATAGCCTCTGCTATGGCGTCAAATTTGTCTCTGTGTGCGACCACGGACCCCGCGTAGAGGTTCTGCAACCATCGTCGCACACCTTAAAAAAAATCCTGACTACATGTCGGACGATCGCAGACCTCAAGAGGAAGTGAGCAGACATAAAGCAGCTGTGACTGGTCCTTGGTATGTGTTTCCGGCTGTCTGTGTGGTCGTCCTTCTCGATTTGGTGCCGGGGTGCGCCATTTTAAAAAACCGAGGGAAAAATACAATGGCCAACCTAAGCGTCCTCCTTTGTGTTTTTGCCAACTCCATTAACGGTACCTGTTCCTCTTCGATGTCTAGCAACTCTAGGTCCTTTTTAAGTTTTATATTCAGGCAAAAAAGAACGGTTAGAAAAGAAAGGTTAGCAGAAGGCCAGATATTTCAGACTATTACTTTGCATTATAGCACCACACCAATTCTGCTCCTGACCCTTTGTCTCACACCCTCCATCTAACAGTGACGGAGGCAGGCTTTGGTGCAGATATTGGCATGGAGAAGTTCTTTAATATTAAGTGCCGCTACTCGGGCCTGAGGCCCCATGTGGTAGTCTTGGTGGCCACAGTCCGAGCCTTAAAGATGCACGGCGGAGGACCCACGGTAAGTTTCTTCTCTCTAATGTAGTATTCCATCCTTTAAAATGCAAAATACTTCATAATAAAAACAAACACTGAACTGTTTCATTCAGGTTACTGCTGGGATGCCACTGCCAAAGGAATATGTGGAGGAGGTAAGGAAGAGAAGCAGGAAATGCAAAACACAAGTGATCAGTTTTTCATTTTTCTACTAATAATATTAGAAATAATATTTCTAATATTAAGCCATTTACTGTTCCCGAGACATGCTTGGTCACAAATGAAACGAATAATTGGACCAAAGTGTTTCATCCATAAAACATGTTTTATGTCTCCAGAACCTTGAGCTTCTGAGGAATGGCTGCGGCAATATGAGGAAACAAATAGAAAATGCTAAACACTTTGGAGTGCCAGTAGTGGTGGCTGTCAATGGTTTTATGTGAGTATAACATTTTATTGTTACTGCCAATGAAAATGTTCCATGCATTGAACTGGATTTATGTGGATCTGTTTCTCTGCAGGACGGACACCGAGGCTGAGCTTGACCTGGTCTGCAGCATGGCCAAAGCTGCTGGAGCCTTCGATGCTGTGCACTGCTCCCACTGGGCCGAGGGTGGCGCTGGTGCTGTGGCCCTCGGTCAGGCTGTCCAGAGGGCCAGTGAGGCCCCCAGCAACTTCAAGTTCCTTTATGATTTGGATGTATGACTCCAGCCCAGCTTTATACTGCAGTACTATTCTCGTGCTTTCTTTGTTTTTTAATCTTTTTGATTTTTAGCTCCCTATTAGTGACAAGATTCGAATAATTGCTCAGAAGATCTACGGCGCAGATGATATTGAACTTCTCCCTGAGGCCCAACGCAAGGTGGAGCTCTACACCAAACAGGTCAGCCTGCCTTAGGGAGGAGTGTTTCTTGTCATGAATGATTGTCACCAAAGATCCTCATCAATGAGGATTCCATTATGACAACATATTGTTTTTCACTTTAGGGTTTTGGAAATCTTCCCATCTGCATGGCAAAGACACACTTGTCCCTTTCTCATGACGCTGAAAAGAAGGGTGTGCCGACCGGTTTTGTCGTTCCAATTAGAGACATCCGAGCAAGTGTCGGCGCTGGCTTTCTCTTCCCATTGGTCGGCACGGTGAGCTCACACCGACACCCGCCAATAGATTTCTTTCCTTCTTTGTTTTTTTGTAGATCTGTTTGTTTTCTTTGGACCGCCCCCCCAAAAAAGTAGAATAAAACCTACTATGATAATAGGTTTCCAATACAGATCTAATATTAATGTTTGATAGAAAGAAATGCTCTCTAAGGCTGCATAAGTATAGGAACAAATTAACTTTCTGGACTTTTCTCTGCTGTGGTTTGAAATGAAATAATGATTTTTTTTTTTTTTTTTTCTAGAAATGTAATTTTTTTTGTCTCTTTTACTCCCTGCCTTCAGATGCCTACCATCCCCGGTCTGCCAACCCGGCCTTGCTTCTACGATATCGACCTGGACCCTGAGACCGAACAGATCAACGGGCTTTTCTAAAGGAAAACGCCTCACAGCATGCATTCCTCCAAAACGGGGAAAGCAAGACGGATGAGTTTAGAAACACCAGCCATGCCCACAGGACCTTAACAAACACTGGACGAGTTATAACTGGAAGCCCTGGTTGCTTTTGAAAAGCTCCTACCATGAATACATAATTTATGATTAATTATAGAGCAGATTTTATGCTGTTCTTAACCTTTCATGGAATCTCTTGGAAGAACAATGTGTTTTTGATCCCATTTTGTATAAGATTTCTGACTAATAAAACACATTTCCTATCTCAGAACTCCTAAATCAGTAAACACAACCGTTCAAGCCTTACATCAACTATCTGTTTGTATTTGTGAACACTACACTAAAGGTTTGCTCCCCAGTTTATTTCCTTAAATAAACTAATAACTTTTTTTATGTATTTACTAACTATGATGTCTTAATTGTATAAGTAATCCTGCCTTAAAAGGTTTTCACTTCATTTTGTAGATTTTTGTTAATCTAAATAAATAGATTTTCTAAGTATATTAATTTAGTGTTTCTAAGCACAATTAGAATTTTTTTTAAATCCATTTTTTTCCTGATCTTCCCCAAAAATTGAAAATAAAATGACATATTTAAAATCTGCATCTGAGTGTTTCTTCTTTTAATACCCAAACCAGGAATGTCAAGGTATGACTAATTTGTTGGCTCAGATTTCCAAAATATTTGTATAGAATAATCTCCCATAGTTCTTAACAATAATCTAGCTTTGAAAAGTGTTTAAAGTTGAAAATATACTTTTACTTCCAATGTTGTTTTATATTCATTTCGGAAAATAAATCCAATGTTAGGATCTAAGTATGAGCATTGATATTAGACTTGGACAAACGTTCTTGTCACAGAGTGTATATAAAACAAAATTACGCTGCATACAGTTTACAACATCGAAATGAACATGACTCTTTATAAAGTGCAGCAGTAATCAGAATGTAAACAGTACAGGAGAAAAGGGATCCAGTTAAAAAATAATGGTGCAAAAGAGCATTAATATGGAAAGTGCAGTTCAAAATAAATATGATGCAAAAATGCAGTAGAACATTGAGTTGCGCCCTGTTTAAAATAATATTAAAAGAATCAGGGATGTTGATGATGCAAAAATGTTCAGTTTAGAATTTAAAAGTTCAACAGTCTGATGGCAGTGGGGAAAAAGCTGCTGCAGAACCTGCTGGTCCTGCATTGAATTCTGCGAAGCCTCTTTCCAGAGGGCAACAGGGAGAACAGTCCATGGTGGGGGTGTGAGGGGTTGCTGATGAGTTACAGGCTCTGTACACGCAGCGCTGGGATGAAATGTCTTTAATGGAGGGAAGAGGAGCCCCGATGATGCTCTCTACTGTCCTCACCACTCTTCTCACGTTCTTCCAGTCTGAGGCGCTGCAGCCTCCACACCCCACAGTGAGACAGCTGGTCTCTGTGGTGCCTCTGTAGAAGGTGGTGAGTATACTAATATTGGCACCCCAAACGTGCAAGCCCTCTTCTACCATTACACATGTCAATCTGTAGAGTTTGCCTACAGGAACTTTATCTTTAATCAGATCCAGATTGAGGTTTTTGGCAACAAACATTCCCAGTTGAGTTTGTTGTAAATCAAATCAAAGAACTGTTGGAAGTCATTTTATGTCCCCTTTATAAGTTTGATGGAGGGCTTATTTGGAAGATTATTTGTGTACAGCTTCAGGTATCTCAGAAAATATCAGGACAGTTAAAAAATGATGGATTGTCAGTACTTAAAATGGCTCCTCAGTAGATTTTTGTTGGATAATAAAATATGAGACCAGGTCATAACAGAATTGGTTCACCAGAGATCTCAGATTGCAGACCTAAGTCCTGTAGGAACATTGCAGCATTGCATAATGAGAGCGAGGCAGTTTTAAAAATATATTTTTATTTTATTGTTCTTATTTTTTTTTTTAAGACAAAGAGAAGGGAATCTGTAGCTTTCTAAAGCCAATTAATCTGCCTCTTTTTCAGTAACAGGATGACTTATTCATTGGTGTCAGGACAACACATTACAAAGAGTTACCTCATTTTACCTGCCTTTGGCATTAGAGGGATGTTTGGGCTGTTTGGCTTCAAAAGCAGTCATGCAACTTTAAACAAACAGCAATACAAAGTGTGAATTTGTGGACACACCCAGCAGCAAAACCGTTTGCTTCATCAGTCCTGGAGAGGAAATGACATCCATTACCTGTGTGTTCTAAAAAGCTAGCTGTGGAAGAGACTAAAGTGAAGAGCTAAAACAGACACACTGTTTTTAAAAGGTTTTATTAGAGATTTATTTCATTCATGCATTGGAAAATTTTACAAAGCATTGTTTCAGTGATATTTTTATTTTAGAGACGGTCTGCATGCTTTATTTCAGTCCTTTCCTCCTCTGCCTCCTCCTCTTTCAGGGCCCCCCTTGCCTTGTCCTTGGCCTCTTCCTTTTCCATGGTTTCCCTTGTCTTTTCCTTTCCCCTTTCCCTTGTTCTTTCCTCTGCCCTTTAATCAGTAACAACATATACACATTTATAATAGAGGCACAAAAAAATTATAGATTGAGATTTTAAAAATGAATGAATGCAGCCTTGCCTTTCCTCCCTGCAAAAGTTAAAAAAGGGCATTAATATTACAATAAAATCCATCAGTAAAATTTAAAACCAGAAACATTACAGAGAAGGAAAAGAAGACTTACTCCTTCAGAATCGGATCCTTCAGACTCTGAATGATCAGGTCCTGCTTCTTCAGGCTTCTTATCCTGAGAAAAAGAAACCACCACATTACTACAGTCTGCATACAAAACGATAATGATGAGAAAGGAACTACACTTACTGCAGCTGCTAAAAAAAGTAAAGAAAAAAACAGTATTAATGATACAGTCATTTAAAGAGGCATATTCAAATTCCCACCAAAACAGTGATGTCATTTACTGTCAGTAAATGCTGAAAAGTGAAATGAAATCTGACTTACGATCACTCATTTTGTCTCTTTGGTGGATGCTAAAGGAATTACTTTCTAAAAGAATGACAAACAAACTAATTCAGAAAATACAACACTCCTCTTAACCATTTCAAAAGACCAAACCAAACATACCTGTCTCAGAAGAAAAAATTAATTTGTGCTTAACGTGCGTGTCACCTCTCTATTTATAATGCAGCATTTGATAGGAATGTGAGTTTGTGGAGCTCCACCCACTTACATTTAAATTTGACTGTTGCAAAACAAGGCATGCGTGACATGGATAAAAAAAGAAATTTAAGACCTTTGAAAATGCTGAAAGGGATGGAAGAAAATCTAGAAATCTAATCTGTTTTTAACAATTTATGAGAAGAAATTAAATTCAGGTTCTAAAAGATTTTAAAAAATCTAATACTTTGGAGGATTATAGAGGAACAAAAAGCTAATAAAATGTCTAACTATAAGAAGTTTTCTAATTTTCCCTTGATGTAAAATGTAAATCACCTCGTTTTATTGTAAATCAGTTGAGGAGAGCTGATGGTTTTGTCTTTTGCAGCAGTGGGAACTGGAAACGTTGCATCAGTTGACCTTAAACTCAGTCTTTGCTTATCACAGAATCAAGCATCTGTGATTGAGTAGGTGAAGTTGCTCAACTGATGATTCCAGGAATTTAATGTTACTTAAAAAAACAATGTTAATCCCTAAAAAAAAACAAACACACTTTTTATTTCTTTAAAATCAAATAATCACCCTAATTATCATTTTGCATCCTGCTTCATGCCTTCAGACTTTTTTTTTTATTTTTTTTTATTTTTTTTTATTTAAGGTTCATTATTCGGGTAAAACAGTAATCTGCTCTTGGTACTAGATTAGTAAAATTAAGATGAGGCTTAAGGATAGCTTGATATTGGAAAATATCAACACCAATAATAATAAATAATATTTAACTAGCAAGGAAAGTAAAACAAGATCTAAAAATGCTAAGAAGAATAAATGACACTCTACTGTGATTTTTTTTTTTTTATACAAAAATGACCACTCCCAGATTAGTTCAAACTGGAACAGAACATCAGGTACTGATCATATCCTGGATACACCTGTCACTGTCTTTAGGTATTTCTGGAACAGAACAACGTGATAGGTAACTAGGTTAAAATAACATTCGATTGTTGACAAAATTCAAGTACTAGTTTAGTGGGTGGCGCCTTTTGACAAATAGAAGCTGTTTGTCAATAATATGAGGTCAACAATCTGGCTTCTTATTTGATTACTATCTCTGTGCAGATAAGTAAAAATAACAAAACAACAAACAAACAGAAATAATTTCAGTGATCCTAACTGTCAAAGACTGACAGCATGAAAGAACAAAACCAGCCAAATAAAACTGGTTCTGCTGATTTCACTCACAACCGTCTTATTATGTCCTTCTTGGGTGTTTACAGTAATTATAAATAACACACCTCTTCACTTTTTGTCAGGTATTCACTCCAAGGCAGATCTGAGTGAAGTCAGTACTTAGTGAACTAAGCTATGTGCCTGGAGAGAAACAGCTCTGAGCGATGAGTGTGAAGTTGTTTTCTCTCTTTTGGTTACACCCTCTGGAACCATAAAATAAAATCTCCCTTTTTGAGCTGGAAAAATAACTTCAGAAACCTCAGTTTATTAATATATCTATTAATTTGTCTCAAAGTTGCAAAGCTTTTCAAGGTTTAGGATGTCAGCATGATAAAAGATAAAGATGTCTTCCATTATTCAATTGCTGCAACAGTTTTTTTTTTTTATGTTCCAAGTTCCTACAGATGTTGTGATCTTAGTGCTTGACCCTTTAAAGCCATAAAATAATTAATAGAAAATTCTACCTTTTTATAAATTGAATTAAGAACTTTCTGAAAAATTAAATAAAAATACATACATTTTGTATAAGTTAAATCAGATTATTTATCTGCATCAATTTTGATACAGTGGGGATTTCTGTATAATATTTTATGGGTTTTCTGTTCTCTACATGTGTCTCATTCTGTAAATTAGGGTTTTCAAGAAAAAAAATATATCACTCTGATCATGCAGAGGTCTCAAAAACTCATGTATCAAAAATGATACACTTGGCTTTAAAGGGCTAAGTATTTTTTTTTACCAATTGAGTTTGTTCTTTTCATTATTTTTTGCATAATTGCGATTGTTTTGTTCTTTATGTTCTTTTTGGCTTAACCAAAAAGCCTGTGTTCAATTCAAAAAGTTCCAGATAATTTGAAATTGTCTCCTTAGATTGTTGTTAAAGTACAATTCAAAATGCAATGGTTGATTTTAAATCCTCCAAAAGTGAACATTAGTGAAAGATTATGAGGCCTTTGTGACCAGCAGTTTTAACCTCATATTCGTTTAATCCTTTGCTATGCTGATGATATTAGGGGTTATATTTTACCATGGAGCCAAACAAAAAATGATTAATAAGATTAAAGCATGACAACATATGAAAACATCTATTTTTCCTAATCTTTTCATCCCTTGCACTTGCTTGGAGTTATTTAACAATAATCATAAAGAAGTTTTTTTTTATTTTTTTGTTCAACAATCAAACCATCAATTTGATAAAAATGAGAACAGCTGAAAAAATGAATCCATGGATTTGTTGTATCTAAGATGTACAATTGCTCAAGCAGTAGCAGTCAAATCATCGGTACTTTTTATAGTGCAGCTCATACAGGAAATAACTGGTATCACCCGTCCTCCAGTTTAGACAAACTTTTCCTTTTCGAATGCTACCTGGAGGATCATGAAACAGAAAGGGAAACACTAGACCCTCTCCTCTCTTTAGTTGGTCAACATTTTGTTTAATATTTCTGCTTCTCATCATCAATATTTGCTTCCTCTTCACAAAATAAAACAAATAAATTTAATTCCAAAGCTCATTTGCTGTATCTTATTTTTTTACTGTCTTGCAAATGAATTCACACCCATTTTTTTTCATGTGGCATCCACAAATTTCGGTTTGCATATGTTTCTGAATGGCATGCGACTGACAACAGTTAGCAAATAAAGATGATGTAACTTTTGTTTTTAAAGTAATGAAACACAGAAGTAAAATGTATTAAAAGTATAGCCCCTCCCTCTGACATTAGCACATATAAAATAGGTTTTATTGCAATAACAGCCGCAGGTCTTCCTACAGAAGGGAATTCACTCCATTTTCTTTCCCAAGTTAAACTGGATGGAAAGTGTCTGTGACTGTGAGCCTCAATTTCTATATGTGAACTTTGCTGATTTGTACAGGATTAAGGTCTACAAATTTGAAGGGGCAATTGTTAGACATGAATATGCTTGGATCTACAGCAGCCAACAAAAATTACTGCTGCTAAAAAAAAAAACCCAGTCGGATGCTGATAATTTCTCTTCATCGTTTGCTTAAGTTTTCCATCAAACCTCCTAGGCATTTGACTACTTGCTGTAATCCCATTGATATTAAGGGAAAACAAAAGGTTTGGATCTTTAAGGAATAAAGTTGTGACTCCTGAATTGGATTAGATTTTGAAGTGTCAGACAGTGAAAGTTTTTAAGCATGTTCAATCAGTGCAAATTTACATTTGATTTATTATATAAAAACAAACAAAAAAAACAAAACAATTAAGTACCTTATTCTGCTTCATTTCTCTTCACAGCTATACTCTACTGCAACAAACTGAGACCTCAATATATACTAATAATATATTAACTTGAATTCTTCTCTGAATTGTTAAATTTCAATTTAAAAATGTCTCCTCTATGTAGCGTGTTGTTGTAAAAAGGACAACTGTATTCTGTGTAAACTTTTTTTTTAAACACAGTTCAGTTCTAAAGCTTTCAAATATCTTTATATTCAAATTCTAATAACCTACATTTGCAGCATTTTAGGCTATTACAACGCATACAGGTGTAGTACCTGCACCGGGTTGGTAGAAAATCATCTGGCGCCCACTTGTGGACATTATGCTATATTGCAGTTGGTCAGGAGGTCGTTTTACCTTCATGGCGCTGAAAACGGATTTCAGGTGAGGAGATATTTTGCGTCTTATCTTTGTTCTGTTTTTGCCTTCATTATTATGAAATATTACGTTAAATGTTAATATTGGCATAGCCAGAGACCAAATAATCAAACACCCAAAATATGTAAAATGTTTTCTCTTCAATAAGCCTTTAAAAATAGATTATAGAATAAATATTTTATCTAAAATTTTTTATCTATCATGTATTATTACAGTGGGAGGAAGCTGGAGTACCTTAAGTGAAAGTGCATGTGGAAGAAAACACGAAAACTCCATAGTATAGGACTTTAGGCCAGAATTCAACACCTCAGACAAATGTAAAAGTGCACTGCAAGTTAGTAATGTAGGATTTATCTTTATTATCTTCGTGTTGGCTACTACTTTTCTTTGGCCCTTTCCCCATCAATTTAAATAAATCACTTTAAAGGTATAGAGGAGGAAAAGACCCGCCCCCTCCCCTTTAAAGAAAATGCACATGCACAACCCTGTAAACGCTCCCCAGAGGGAATGCCTATTAAATGCGTGAGAGAGCATGCATTTCTCCTTGTGCAGTTAAATAAAATAACCTATGCACTTATTTCCAGTGTTAGTTTATTAAAGGTATAGAGGAGAATTTTTGCAAATTTTTGAAAAGACCTGATCTCTCCAGTAAAAAAAAAAAAAGCACATGCTCAAACGCATGAGACAGCATGCATGAGCCGAATTCTCCTCGTGCACGCTCTGTTTAAAAGTTACTGTTTGCATCGCTCTCACAAGCTTACTTTCCAAAAAAAGATTTGCAATTTTCCCACTATGTGAGACTCACCACGCATGTAAGGCGGGCTTAGGTAAACATATCACCAGAATGATTGACAATTAGGAGGACCACTTAATTTGATGATCCACCCTTAAAAAAAAAAAAAAAAAGACATCCTCCACTATACCTTTATGGCTCTTTTTGTACCATGTTAGAAATAGTCTCATGACAACATTTTCCACTGCATTGCTACAGCATGCCTTTATGAACTTTAATTGTAGTTTATTAATCAC